CAATATAAAATCATAGAAACCAACATATTGATAAAACAGATTTGTTACCCCAGTTTTTTCTGGATACAGGCTGATTTCAGTGATCCACAGCTTACAAGTCCCACTTTTCGATGTGTCATCACAGCCCCGTACTTGGCTTACATTTAAACATTCCCTGAGCTGGAGCTGAGGTGAATCTAAGCAGCAGCCCCGCTGGGTCTAATAGGATTTGGGAGGACCTTCATGACACCCTGTTTCCTGAGTTGTTTGGAGAAATAGGTCAAGCCCTCTCTTCAGACCCAGTCATCTCCTTGGAGAGAGAGGCTGATTCTGCTGACCAAGTTTCCTGGTCCTTGACCACCTCCCAGGTTAACAAAGGTTTGAGAAAGTGTCCCACGTTCTGTACCAGTAAATCCTAAAAATTTTGGAAGAAAGGAAACTGAGCAGTACCACGGAAAAATCTGCAGGTACGTGAGGGTTTCTGATCACCTCCTAGTAGAAGACCTAGAAGTCTTGCCAGATAATGGAAAAGGCATGTCTAAAAACTTGTGCTTCCTCTATAACAGGAGATTAATTGAATGAATCATGGCATATCCATACAACAAATACTATATGTGTTGTCAGAGAAGAAAATTGACATGAAAAATGTCCATAGTATACTGCTGGGTGAAGAAGCAGGTTACAAAACTGTACATAGACTACGGTTCCATTTTTGGTTAATAAATTATACATAATAACTGACATTTACTGAGCTTTAAATATAAGTATATATATGAGCAAGGCACTGAATAAAGTGCTTTACATTAATTACTTTATCCTCACGACAACACTATGGTGTAGGTAATAAGGATTATACTTGTCTTTTTACAGATAAGGAAACTAGGCAGGAAAAGGGTAAGTGATTTGCCATAGTTCACATGAGTGGCAGAGCTGAGAAACAGACCTAGATATGTTGGACTTAAGAGCCCAAACTCTTTACAGTGACACTATATAGTTGTACAGAAAAAAAGTTAAGAGAGAGAAACACAAGGATGTTAACATTAACTGGTTATTTCTGGGTGATGGGATTATGAGTTACTTTTTTTCCCTTTATGCTTTCCTGAGTAGTCTGAAACATTTGTGATTTACATGGATTATTTCTATAATCAGGAAAAACAGTAAATTATTTTCCATTTTGAAAAAAAGTGAACAGCCATTGTTTCCAAACTGTACGTGGCAAATTGCTGGGGAGTGGGGGGGAGTAACTTAATTATTACAAGGGTTCTGGAAATTCCCACATGACCCAAGCATTGTCTAAAATGAATATGTTTGCACATATTTTTTCCAAATGACATGTTGTATACTGTCATGGTGTATACTCCTAGTGCTTGAGTTTATTCCATATTTCTCAATCAATGAATATTAAGAATACCACTATTATCATGTGGAAGTCCATACATTTTAAACACTAAAACAAGGGATGGGATCTGCTGCTACAAGGAAAAATGTATGTATGGGTCAGCTCTGTAGCCTGAGTGTCTTCTCAACAACTTACCACCTTTTTCTCAGAAGCGATGGGAGGAAATAGAGGGGAAAAACTGAAAATGCACATATTATTAAAAGTTAATCCAGGGTTGTGGAAGGGGAAGTGGGTGGGAGGATGGGATACCTGAGTGATGGGCATTAAGGATGATACATGATGTGATGAGCATTAGGTGTTATACACAACTAATGAATCATTGAACACCACATCAAAAACTAATGACGTACTATATGTTGGCTAATTCAATTTAAATGAAGAAAAATAAATAAATTACAAAACAACTAAAAAAAAGTTAATCCAAGAGAAGTCCCGGGAGAAGGCAATTTAGAAGGATGAAAGAACGTGGAGAGGGAGTTGATGTTGGCTCCGAAAATTCTATTATGGAAAGACAGAAGGCTAAATCTCTCTTATATTGCCAGAGGCTAGTCCCCACCCTCAACCACAAAGATGTCAACAGCTGTGTAGGCTACGATGCTGCAATACCTGAGTGCTAGGATTTGCTCAAGGACCAGGCTGGTATCCAATCAGCAGGAAGACCTGGAGTGGCGAAGGCCCTCCACATCTTCTGCCATACCAACTCAAAGGTCAGCTGCTGCCTTTCCTTTCTCTCATTCTTCCTCTCCCCTTTTTGTAATGTGTCCCTTATCTTCTATTTCTGCACAGCTTCTTGGCCCCCTCTCAGGTCTCCAGGTTACACCTCTCCATAGGACTCCAGTGATTTCATTACCCATAAGAAACCATCCTGATCACAAGATCTCAAACTAAGATACTCACTCACTGATCATTCATTCAATAATAAGGGCCTTAGGGGCAGAGGCCCTGACAAATTAGGTATAGTCCCTACCTCTTTACAGGCATACAGTCTTCAGGTGTGAAAAGCAAAAAACAAATAAAAATAAAAACAAACCTACAACTCAGTTTGCTTCACTGGGCATGAAGTTACAACAAGGTAAGAGGAGTTAGAGAGAGGAATGAGGGCTTCGCTTTTTAGCCTATATTTAGGACTAACTTAGGGACAAGGCTCCACACCATCACCCCTGCTTAGTGGATCTGGTGCTGAGGCGTGGAAGACTGGCTTACTCTAAGCGAGACTAGTCTTCAACAGGCCGATGACATGGGAAATAAGAGGGTGGGAAGGAAGATTGTTCTTTTTTTTTAAGATTTCATTTATTTATTTATTTGACAGAGAGAGACACACAGAGAGAGGGAACACAAGCAGGGGGAGTGAGAGAGGGAGAAGCAGGCTTCCCACGGAGCAGGGAGCCCGATGTGGGGCTCGATCCCAGGACCCTGGGATCATGACCTGAGCCGAAGGCAGACGCTCAAAGACTGAGCCACCCAGGCGCCCCCAGATTGTTCTGTATTAAAAGCAAATTTAGATCTTGCCAAAGGGCTCAAACCTGAGTCTGATCCAGTCCTCGAATTCAGATGTCAATCTTCAGGAAATACAGAAGAATCTACTGAAGTGCACCATAAGCATGCAGTAAACAAAGTCCAGGCTGTGGAAAATTCTCCGGGTCAAATGTGGATTTTTTTTTAAGATTTTATTTATTTGACAGAACACAGGGAGGGGGAGCAGCAGCGGGAGAGGGAGAAGCAGGGCCCCCACCGAGCATGCAGCCCGATATGGGGCTCAATCCCAGGATCCTGGGATCATGACCTGAGCCGAAGGCAGTCGCTTAACCGATTGAGCCACCAGGTGCCCCTCAAATGTGGATTCTTCAAGACATAAGTAACGTCAGGAAAAGAAAGGAATGGAAGGGGAAACCTGCAAATGAAAACAGACTTAAACTCTTAAAAAATGCCAAGGTCATAAAAGGAAAGATCAAGAAACTATCACAGATTGGAGGAGACTAAGGAGACATGATTACTAAATGCAATGTGAGACCTGGTGGAATCCTGGAACAGAAAGTGGACATTAGGAGAAAAATTTAGTGCAATTCAAATAAACTCTGGCGTTAACAGTGATGTACCAGTATTGGTTTCTTAGCTGTGATATCTATACTCATGGTTACATAAGATGTTAACATAAAAGGAGGCTGGGTCAGAGGGTATAGGGGACTCTCCACACTATCTTTGCAACTCTCCCATAAATCTAAGACTTTCCAAAATGAGAAGTTCAAAAAAGAGAAAATTTAAGGAACATATCAGTTCTTTTAATGGGCAAGACTAAACCATAATCATTAAGGAAGTATGCTTGGGTAATAAAACCATAGAAATGCAAAGAAAAGATTACTGTAAATGTTAGGATGGGGCACCTGGGTGGCTCAGTCGGTTGGGCATCTGCTTTCGGCTCAGGTCATGATCCTGGAGTCCTGGGATCCTAGGACTCCCTGCTCAGAGTCTGCTTCTCCCCCTGCCCCTCACCCCGCTCTCGTGCTCTCTCTCAAATAAATAGGAAAAATCTTTAAAAATTTTCTATACTACTCAAAGCAATCTACAGATTTAATGCAATCCCTATCAAAATACCAACAGCATTTTTCACAGAGCTAGAACAAACAATCTTAAAATGTGTATGGAACCACAAAGACCCCGGCTAGCCAAAGCAATTTTTAAAAAGAAAAAAAAAAGTTAGGATAATGGTTATTTTGGGAGGAGGAAGAGGGTTGTGATTGAAATGGGGTACATGAGAGGCTTCTGGGGTTCTATTTCTTGATGTAGTGGTGGCGGCAAGGTATAAATAATAATTTATTATTATTTATTATTATTAATAAATAATAATTTATTAAGCCATACATTTGTTTTAGGTGGTTTTCTGTATCTAAGTTTTATTTTACAATGAAAAACTAAAGAGAGAGAGAGAGACTTAAGAGACATAACATTCAAATACAACCAGTAAACCTTGTTTGGATCCTGATTCAAATTAACCAACTGTAAAAAGACATTTGAATGTGGACTGGATATTAGGTATTATTCAAAAATTACAAAATTTGTTAAGGGTTATATTGGCATCACTGTGGAAGAAAACATTCATATTTTTGTATTCATAGTGAAGTATTTAGGAGTGAAATGACATGATATCTTAGAATTGCTTTAAGATGCTCCAAGAAAAAAAAAATTGGGACGATAGATGAAACAAATATGGCAAAATGTTAGCAGTTATTGAAGATGAACAAAAAACATGAACATAAAGATAAAAATTTGTTGCATTCTCTAGTTTTGTGTGTATTTGGAAATTTTTTGGAATATTTGGAAATTCTGAAATTATTGTAATAGCAAGTTAAAAGAGGGGGATATCCCAAGCCAGACTGCCTCAGGGCAATAGTCTGTCTCAACAAAAACCTAATCCTAGATACTCCCTACCCCACAAATCCCCCAGAGCTCCCTCCTGAGATCACAACCCCCATAGTCTCAGAGTGGCCTGTTAAAGGTATTTCCCTTCTCTTGATCTCTGAGTCACTAGGACTAGGTGGCAGTCCTTCTTACCTTTCTTCATCCTGATGTCTTAATAATCTCAGGAAAGAGTCAAAGGGCAAATGGTCAGGGCCCAGGGCTCAGATCTGATAGGACAGTCCTTGGTACTCCAAAGCCTGCCTCCTGCAGTGGGTCGTAGGTGTGGGGCAGGACAAAGAAGGAAAAGGGCAGGTGAAAATCCTCCTGATCATATGCATTCACTATCGAGCAAGCTTCGAGAGGCTGGTGGCACCATTGGTTGGAAGAGTGTTCTGGGATCTTTGTCTTCCTCAGGCTCCTGAGCATCATGCCTTGTTTCGGGCAGCCTACACACTTCCAGAGTCTGATACTTCTGCAGTGGCCCTTGAGCTACCTTGTCATAGGTGAGTACTGATCCTAGAGTGCACAGCAAGAAACCAGAGTCAGAGACCAGGGTCAGATCTGGGGTGAACTTCATGCTCATGGGAAGTCTCATATCTAACCTTTGATCATCTCAGATGGTACTACAGAGTAAAGCCAAGGAGTCTTGAGTCGCATGAACACCCTGGAGAAGGAAGAGATAGAGCCACAGGAGGCGGTGAGAACAGGCAGAGGGGTAGAACAGGGTCATGATGGATATGAGTAGATCTGGCTAATTTCAGCCACTTCTTAACCCTGACCATCTGGAAAGGGGAAATGAGGCCCAGGGAATAGGCATGATATGTCCATGAGCATACTGCACGGGGAGTGGGACAGAAGAAGCATTAGAATTACAGACTTGGAGAAGTATAGCCTGTGTTTAAACCATAGAGTTTTCCATTCTGGGAGGGGGTGGGGTGGTAGCATGTGGGGAGATAGTGATAATGGAAGGAATGGTGAATGAGCAAGAGGACAAGAATGGTGAATGGCGGGGGTGGGGGGCGTCTGGGTGGCTCAGTCGGTTAAGCATCAGCCTTTGGATCAGGTCATAATCCCATGGTCCTTTGATGAAGCCCCACATCAGGCTCCCTGCTCAGTGGGGAGCCTGCTTCTCCCTCTGCCTGCCACTCCCCCTACTTGTGCGCGTTTTCTCTCTCTGTCAAATAAATAAAATCTTTTTTAAAAAAAGAATGGTGAATGGGAAGAAGTACAGGGATGCAGATGCTTAGTGAGCAGGGTGTGGGGAGATATGGATAGTTTATGGGCAAGGAAGGATGATGAGCTAGCGGTTTAACAAGGGGTTGGGGATGATGGATAGCAAAGGAGACAGGAGACAAGAAGGGAAAGATGGTGGATGAATGGGAGCAGGGGAAAAGCTGGTGGCAGGCAGGGAGCAGGAAGGAGTAGAGGGATGGTGAGTGGCTGAGGAAGCAAGTGGACAGGGATGATGGGGAATTAGAGAAATACGGCTGGTGTATAGTAGATGATAGAGGAAGGCCAAGTAGACATCCTGCTGGATGGGCAGGAGCTAGACTGTGCAGAAGGCCAGGACCAGAAGCTTGGGTAGTTTGGGGGGCTCTTAATGGGGATGTACATGGGCAGGTTCTGCTGGCAGAACAATTTTGGTCTGACCTGCTCCCTCGTCAGCTTTTATCTTGCAGCCATTGTTCATTTGCTTGCTGTTTACATCCTTGTGGCCACTGCCAGTGCTTTACTTTACCTGGTTTTTCTTGGACTGGAAGACCCCAGATCAAGGTAAGACTCGTGGACCTAGAAAGAACATGGCCTAAGAATGTTCCAGCTTAGGGTCGCCTGGGTGGCTCAGTCGTTAAGCATCTGCCTTCGGCTCAGCTCCTGGGATGGAGCCCCGTGTCGGGGTCTCTGCTCAGCAGGAAGCCTGCTTCTCCCTCTGCCACTCCCCCTGCTTGTGTTCCCTCTCTTGCTGTCTCTCTCTCTGTCAAATAAATAAATAAAGTCTTTAAAAAAACAAAACAAAAACTTATTTAAAAAAAAAAGAATGTCCTAGGTTAACCTGTAACCAGGGAGTCCCACTCACCATACCACAGGTCTCTCATCCAAGTTCTCAGAGTCACAGGACCTGGGCCAGCCAGGACCCTCTTGGGGTCTCTTCCTTTTCCACCTCTCTAGCGGAGCCATGACCCTCCATGCTGTTAGGAAAGCCCTGAGTGAGGGGGAGGGATGGGGTTGGCACACACAGACACCATCCCCCACTGATATTTCTCTCTCAGGTGGCAGGCGTTCAGGCTGGGTAAGGAACTTGTGTATCTGGACCCACCTCAGGGACTATTTCCCCATTACGGTAAGTGTCTCTTTCCCAGCATCCCCAGCAGTTCCCAAAATACTAGGCATTTATGCCAAATAACTGGGGTTGTCCATAAGGAAAATGAACATACCAGAGAAGTCTCAGGGCAGGCTAGACATACTTCAAGACCCAACGTTGTGGCTGGTACTCGCTACTGTGCTAGCATACTTTGGACACCCTTGGCATGACCTACCAGATGACACAGGCAGAAACACAAATACAATTCAGTTCAGTTTAACAAACGTTGATTGAAAGCCTACTCTGTACTACATGTTAGAGGTACAGAGAAGTGAGTAGGATGCAACCTGTCATCAAGGTGCTCATATCTAATGAGAAGGACAGACAAGTATGTATTTATAGTTTGGTACATGGTACACAAGTAGTTCAGATGAGGGGTAAGAAAAAGCTTCACAGACGTGGTGATATTTAGGCAGGGTTTTCACGTTCAATAGAAGTTACTTAGGCAGAAACCGGAAGGGGGTTGGGAGGAGAAAATATCAGGAAGACGATCTAGTAATGTAGTGCTATGCTGGTCCTCTGAGCATTCTTTGGACTAGACAATAAACGTTGCCCCAATTTTTAGAGCAGAACTTGCCGACCTTTTCACTTAAACACTCGTACAAAATGATACTATGCATAAAGCGCATTGAGATAAATGGCTGGAACTACTTGCAGCCACCCATGGGGAAGAGGTCCAGCAGTTCTAGCTGCCCCAGATCCTTCCTGGCTTTCCAGGGGCTGAGGTACCTTGGCCTAGCTGTTGAAAAACCCTGAAACCCACTCATGGCCTAGCTGTTGAAAAGCTCTGCTTTAGAGAGCACCCTGATCCCTGAAGTGTCTTCACCTTTGCTTCTTCATGTGATCTTATTTCAACACCTCTGGTGCTTCTTTTCATGGCTGCAGATCCTGAAGACTAAAAACCTGTCACCTGAGCACAACTACATCATGGGGGTTCATCCTCATGGCCTCTTGACCTTTGGACCCTTCTGCAACTTCTGCACTGAAGCCACAGGCTTCTCGAAGATCTACCCAGGCATCACTCCCTACTTGGCCACACTGTCCTGGTTCTTCAGGGTCCCCTTTGTTAGGGAGTACCTCATGGCCAAAGGTACTTCTGACCATACTTACTGGAGCTTCTGGCCCATTTCTCTGCTGGGATACTCACCTTTTTAAGCCCCATCCCCTACCTCTCAACCACCTCTCATCCATTCCTATCAAAGCGTAGTAGTTAAAAGCATATGTTCTGGAGCTAAACTGGGTTTGAATCCTGGCTCTGCCGCCTACTGCGTGGTCTTGAGCAAGCTACCCGTCTCACTTTCTTCATCTGTAAGGAGATGCTGATGATAATAGTCTAACCTCAGATTTGGTGTGACGGCCAAATGAGATCATACAAGTAAAGCATTCAATATAGTGCCTGCCACAGAGTACATGCTCAGTAAAGAATAACTTTTGCTATTTGGTGACAATAGAGGAAAAGAAAAGAGTAAGATTATAGTTGAGATTCAGAAAGTTCTTCTGGTTATCCCACTGGAAACCTTCCTACTATAGTTTTAACCTAATGTCTCCTATGAATGGAGATATTGCCTCAAAGTGAAACATGCTGGGTTTGTCCTCAGCCTTCTTTTCTCCACACCCTTGGTCCCATCTCATTGATTCTCCTTCTGGGACTCATGGGAACAGAGGGCACATAGACAAGCCAATGAGGAGTAAGCAGAGAGTATTCCCTCTCAGCCATTTTCCCTTCCCCTTATTTTGCTCCTCTCTCTGCTCTTTGATTCTCCTTAGGTGTGTGCTCCGTGAGTCAGCCAGCTATCGACTACCTGCTAAGCCATGGCACTGGCAACCTTGTGGGCATCGTAGTAGGAGGGGTGGGAGAGGCCCTGCAAAGTGTGCCCAACACCACCACCCTCATCCTCCAGAAGCGCAAGGGGTTTGTGCGCACAGCCCTCCAGCATGGGTAGGTCTTCCTCCCAGGGCAGGGGTGGATGGTCTTCTCTGAGCAGCATCACCTGCTAGGTGATGCCAAGATGAATCAGACGTGAGTCTTGCCCTCATGGAACTTACTAGTGCATAAGGGAGATGGCCATAGCATTTTTAAAAGGTTTATGTCATCCACTCCTTCTAAACTAGCTGGACCAATTCTCAGGAAGCCAAACCAGAAACCCAGATTCATTATCAGGGGGCTTGGCTAGGACTCCCTTAATATACAGATGATGCCCACATCATCTCTAGCAATATCAATATCTATATCTGTTTGTTAATGGTAAGTGCAAGGGGCAGGCAGTACAGTATGGTGAGTATGTGCACAGAATCTGAAGTCAGGGGGCCTGATTTGAACCCTGGCTTCATAACTTACTATTACTCTCTGAGACAGATTACTTAACCGTTCTGAGTCTTGGTGTTTTCATTTTCATAATGTGGCTACTAATAATTGTACCTACTCCATAGGGTCATTGTTGGGGTTTATTTTTTTTTATTATGTTAGTTAACCACCATACATTACACCATTAGTTTTTGATGTAGTGTTCCATGATTCATTGTTTGCATATAACACACAGTGCTCCATGCAATACGTGCCCTCTTTAATACCCATCACCAGACTAACCCATCCCCCCCCGCCCCCCCTCCACTCTAAAACCTTCGGTTTGTTTCTCAGAGTCCATACTCTCTCACGGTTCATCTCCCCCTCTGATATCCCCCTCTTCATATTTCCCTTCCTTCTCCTAATGTCCTCCATGCTATTCCTTATGTTCCACAAATAAGTGAAACTGTATGATAATTGACTTTCTCTGTTTGACTTATTTCACTTAGCATCATCTCCTCCAGTCCCATCCATGTTGATGTAAAAGTTGGGTATTCATCCTTTCTGATGGCTGAGTAATATTCCATTGTATATATGGACCACATCTTCTTTATCCATTCATCTGTTGAAGGGCATCTCGGCTCTTTCCACAGTTTGGCTATTGTGGACGTTGCTGCTATGAACGTTGGGGAGCATATGGTCCTTCTTTTCACTACATCTGTGTCTTTGGGGTAAATACCCAGGACTGCAATTGCTGGGTCATAGGGTAGCTCTATTTTTAATTTTTTGAGGAACCTCCACACTGTTTTCCAAAGTGGCTGTACCAACTTGCATTCCCACCAACAGTGTAAGAGGGTTCCCTTTCTCTACAACCTCTCCAACATTTGTTGTTTCTTGCCTTCTCAATTTTTGCCATTCTAACTGGTGTAAGGTGGTATCTCAGTGTGGTTTTGATTAGAATTTCCCTGATGGCTAATGATGATGAACATTTTTTCATGTGTCTGTTAGCCATTCGTATGTCTTCTTCGGAGAAGTGTCTGTTCATGTCTTCTGCCCATTTTTTGCCTTGATTATTAAATGAAGTCATCCACATAAAACACCAAATGTGTCTGGCACACAGTAAGTGGTAGATAATTAATAGCCACTCTAACTGAGGGATAAAGATGGGAGGTAAAGGGCAGGTGCCCAAGGCTGGAACTGTGGGATGCACCATAAGGTCAGGAGGCCAGCCCACTGAACACAGAGATAATTGTCCTATTTCTGACTCAGAGAAAAGTAGTTCACCTAGGGACCTTGCCTGAGTGGCCTGTTCATCAGTTTGGAGCATAATATAGGGGAGAGAGTTCTGAGCTGGGAGGAAGGAATCCTGGGTTCTAGCCCAGGTCATGCCACTCACTGACTGCCTGAGTGAACTTTCCCCTTCAGAACCTGGGCTTCTGGATCTGTAAGATAGAGAAAATACCACCGCCTTCCACTGTGCCCCACATTGTCTCTGCTGTGAGGATCCAGTAAGGTAACATATATCAAAGTGCAGAGAGATTACTAGTAACTCGCAAAGGTTTGTATAAGAAAGGCCATGTTCTCTTTACTCTTCTCTCACAGGAAGACTTCAGGAGCCTGATTCTCTACCTATGGCCCGAGAGGGACACAAATTTTCTCTTCTCTAATCTCAAGGGACAGAATACCTTATGCATAGTCCCTGTGGGTGATGGGCATATCATAATATATGCATCTGTGCAATATTAACATCATCTCTATGCTTCCTACTAGTAGAAACAGAGTCAGATATTTCCCTGCATGACACTTCCTGGAAGCTTTTCTTTACCATGATATAAGTTTCTGGGGATCTCTGCCCAAAACCCTCTTCCTTCCCTATACCCCCATATCTTGCCCTTGTGATCCTGGCCCAGAGATAACATTCTCACTAGATTTGAACATTTCAAGAAAAGAGACAGTAAATATGGGAGCCCTGTTTAGTGCAAGAAGAAATGCTTTATGTTACAGGGATTTTATATAGCTGGGAGCCTGGCCAGGAACAAATGTTCTTCCTGAGTGGTTCTCATCCTAGCCTGTGTTTGAGAAATAAATCAGGATTTTCCTTCAGGGCTCATCTGGTCCCCACCTTCACTTTTGGAGAAACTGAGGTATATGATCAGGTGCAATTCCATAAAGACAGCTGGATGTACAAGTTCCAGAGCTCCTTCCGCAGAATCTTTGGTTTCTATTTTTGTGTCTTCTATGGAAGAGGCTTCTGCCAAGGCTCCTCTGGGCTCCTGCCATACTCGCTGCCTATCGTCACTGTGGGTGAGTGCTGCTTTCAGCCCCAAGTCCACCTCAGCTCTTTCCTGACCTCAACCTCAAAGAGGGAGAATCTGGGAGTTGACTTGGCAAGTGAGAGAATCTGGCCCAGGGAAGAAGGAGGTTAAAGGAAGAGAAGATTCTAACATTTGCCCCTTCTTTTTTCCCATTTCCAGTTGGGGAGCCTCTGCCACTGCCCAAAATTGAAAAACCAAGCCAGGAAATGGTGGACAAATACCATGCACTCTATATGGATGCCCTGTGCAAACTGTTTGACCAGCATAAGACCCAGTATGGCTGCTCAGAGGCCCAAAAGCTGATTTTCCTGTGACTGAATGGGCTTGCGTGCCCAAAAGCATGTACCTTGAAGAGGAGACTCATTTGCTGCTAACCAAGAGGTGGAGAAAAGGAGATAAGGGAAGGCTATGTGTGGTAGGGGAGGACATTAGGAATTCCTTCCTTGCCACAAAGCCCTCATAGTTGCTGTCCTAAGGAGCTTCACTCAGTCATTCCACAAAAAGGGGGCACCCTGAGGTCCCTCAGGGCCAGCCATGGGCACTCTAGGCACAGACATGTTTCCTTCCTTGCTCCCTACTGGTTTTCCTCCCTAAGTCCAACACCCCAGGTCCTGAAGGACTCAAGTAATAGCCAAACAGCCCAAGTAGCCACCACTCTGGTGGTTGCTGTTGCTATTTTGTCATGATGCATTTTTTAATTGAGATTTTTTTTTGCATACCATAAGTTTAACCTGTTTAAAGTGTAAAATTCAGTAGTACTTAGTATATTCACAGAGTTGTGCAACCACTACCACTAATTTTAGAACATTGTTCAGTACCTCAAATAAGAAAACCAGTACACATTAGCAGTCACTCCCCATTCCATCATCTTTCCCAGCCTAACAAACACTAATTTACTTTCCATTTCTATGGATTTGCCATTTCCGGACATTTCATATAAATGGAATAATAGACTATGTGGTTTTTTCAGGACTGGCTTCTTTCTCTTAGCATGTTTTCAAGGCTCATCCGTGTTGTAGCATGTACCAGTACTTCATTCTTTTTATGGCTGAATAATATTGCATTACACATATACACAACAGTTTTCATCCATTCACCAGTTGATGGACTTTTGGGTTCTTTCCACTTTTGGGCTGCTATGGATAACACTGCTACAAACATTCATGTATGGGTTTTTGTGTGGTAATCTGCTGCCTCCAAATATAAAGGCTTCCCTTATCTCCACAACACTAACCTAACAATCATGCCTTTCACATAAATCAAACGCAATTTTAAGATTACTTTTCAGTTGGCAGAGGCATTTCACATAGGTCATTTTGTCATGATGGTCCTCTCACACCATAACCCCAAGGTATTTGCTGCCATCCTGAGTCTACTACGGGAAATCTGCTTTATATCTATATTTTAAAGTCTTACTAAGTTCTGCTTAAAAGTTTTCTTAGAGCTGTATTCTGAGAATTTTAAAAGAGTAAATAAAAACACAGATATCTCTTCCTTCACAAGGCAACCAACAAAAGACACACTTAGAAACACAGCAAAGGTATACAACTGAAACTAACATAATATTATGTGTCGACTATACTTAAAAAAAAAAAACACTTAGCAAAAGAACAAAAGTTAAAAGACCATTTAAAAACTCATTCAACTCAATAGCAAAAATCTGATTTTAAAGTGGGCAGAGGACTTAAATAGACATTTTTCCAAAGAAACATCCAAATGGCCAACAGGTACATAAAAAGATGCTCAACTTCACTAATCATCAGGGAAACGAAAAATTAAAACCACAGTGAGATATTACCTCATGCCTGTTAGAATGACTACTACCAAAAAGACAAAAGATAAGTGTTGGCAAGGATGTGGAGAAAAGCAAATCCTCATGCACTAATGGTGGTAATGTAAATTGGTGCAGCCACTATGGAAAACAGATGGAGGTTCCTCAAAAAATTGAAAATAGAACTACCATATGATCCAGCAATCCCACATGTGGGTATCCGTAGGAAATGAAATCATTATTTCGAAGAGATATCTGCACCCCCATATTCTTTGCAACATTATTCACAATAGCCAAAACATGGAAACAACCTAAGTGTACATTGATGGATGAATGGATAAATAAGATGTGGAATATAATGGAATAATATTCATCATTAAAAAGAAGGAAATCCTGCGATCTGCAACAACATGGATGGACCTTGAGGGCATTATGCTAAGTGAAATAAGTCAGACAGAGAAAGACAAAAACTGTATGATCTCACTTACATGTGAAATCTAAAAGAAAAAAAAATGCCAAACTCATAAAAACAATGTATAGAATGGTGATTGTCAGGGGCTAGGAAATAGGGGAAATGGGGAGATGTTGGCCAATGCCAATGGATTAAATTTCCAATTATAATATGAATAATTTCTGGGATCTAATGTACAATTTGATGACTATAATTAACAATAATGCTTGAAATACTTGAAAATTGCTAAGAAAGTAGATCTTAAATGTTCTCACCACAAGAAATTGTAATTATGTGAGGTAATGGATGTCTTAACTAACCTTACTGTAATCATTTTGCAATATGTATGTATATCAAATCATCATGTTGCACCTTAAACTTACACAATGTTATACATCAGTTATATCTCAATAAACTGAAAAAGGGGGGAAACTTTAGATTTGGCCTTTCTTACTTTTCTTATTTCATACCTCTTAAATATTCAGTTTTGATGGGGCCCACTCTAGTCTCACTTTATACTGTTTCAGTCTCAAATATCCATTTCTAACCCAGATTTCTCTCATAAGTGATTTCCCTCAAAACTGATATATCCAACTTACCAATCTCTAACAAACATTTTAACATCAACATACCAGTAGCAGATGAAACATCTTCCCCCTCCCAATCTGACATTTTATCACCAAATCCTGTTAATTCTACCACCTCAATATTAATCCAGTGTGTCCTGTTCCCTTCTCCACTGTCACAACCTTGTCAAAGCCCTCACCAACATCCCTAGACAATTGCCACTTCTGCTAGAGTCCTCTCTAATCAATCCATTCATCACACTGGTGCCAGAGTGCTCTTACTAATGCTTAAATCTGAATTGTTAGTCCTCTACTTTGAAATCCTTTTATGCTCCTACAATGCTTCTACCAGCATACCCTGAATTATGTTCTGGGTACCATTAATGTTCCATAGATGTTAATAAATATTGCACAGAAAAAATGATTATGTGGTTAAATAACTGTGGGAGATGCTGGATTAAACAAAGTTAGACAGATGTATTTACTGAAATATTTTCAGAATCTTCACTACACTAATGGGCATTGTGACTATCCAAGAAGGAGTATTTAGTATTTCCCAAACTTACCTGACAATGGAACCCTTGTTTCAAATAACACTTATTACCATCACATGGAACATTTAGTATTTCTCTAAATACAGTTTTGCAAATGCTGGTCTACAAGATAAAGTTCAAACCCCTGGGCATGGCAGAGAAGGCTGCTGGTAATATAGAGAAAGTGGCTGATCTGACTTGGGAACCTATCAGATTGGGAGAAGTCATGGTAGGAGGCACTGGGGTTGATTGGATGGGTCAAAACCTCGTAAGAGGTAACAAAAAGGTAACTGAATAAAGGGGGGACTTGGATTTGAATTGTTCTCACCTGTTTGGGTTGTCGAGGAAGAGCAAACTACAGCAGATTTTGTCAGAAAAGAATCTCAAGGACACACATGGGAATGAGGCTATACCTAAAAAAGTAAAAAAAAAAAAAAAAAAGCCTTTGCTTTCTTATTAGCATCAGCCACATGCTCCTTCTAGAAAATTCATTTCCCTCATATCTTTTCTCTTCACCCTCAGCCTCTACACCACAATGCAATCTCTTGTTCTCCCTATCTCTCCTCCTCCCTCCCTGAATATTTTTGAGATACTCTAGTACTCTAAGGTTTTGCTCCTCACTCTGGATGTCACAATAACTTTGTATGAGCTGATCATCAAAGGAACTAATTAGTAAGACTTAATCATGGAATGTGAGGGCAAGCAAGGGACATTTTCTAAGAGTGGCCAGGCTGGTGACCCTAGTGGGCCAAATGTACAGGGACCTTCAGAGGTAATCATGGAGGCAGAAAGTGAGCAGAGTACTTGAGTGATATCCAGAGCACTGCCCCATAGAGGGAAGATCCGTACTTACTGTCAGAGAGTTCAGTGCTTCCCCATACATACAATAGGTCCATCATGAAGTTCAACAAAGACCCTTCATACTCTGACCCCTATGAATTTCCAATCACTCCCTATCATGGTCTAAAGTAGTACACTCAACTACTTCATGTTTTCTGAATAATTTCACATTTCTTTGCTTTTGCACATGTTCTCTCTACATGGTAAAGAGTGTTCGTCTTTTAAGTCCACATCAAATATCACCTTCTTAGTGAAGCCTTCACCAGGAAGATTTAATAACCCCTTGCTCCATTCTTCCATACCGTTTTGTTGGCTCTACTAATGAGAACTCGATTTTGTCAGTCTTTATTTATGGTTAACCCCATTAAGGGTGTAAAGGAGGAAATTTTAAGTTATCCTTTCTCTGCATTTATGGATGAAAATCATATGGTCTCACAGTATGTGCTTTGGAATTCCTCATACATCAAAGGTCATATAGTGTGATTGGAGACTTCAACACTCGGCTGTTAGAATATGACAAATCAAGTAAACAAAAAGCTAATTTTTAAAAAGTATGGAGCTGACTAATACAATAAATAATGTAGACTAGACTGTCAAGTGATAAGAACTTAATGATTAGGACAAGGAATTACACTTTCTTTTCAAGTGCACATGAATCATTCACAACTACTATTCAGTATTTGAATTCAAAATGCTCTTAATATAAAAGGTAGAAATTCCACATACTATAGGCACAAGACACAGTGCAGTAAAATTAGAAATAAATAATGAATATAGAAGAAGAGAGCACAGGCAGGAATTTCTCTGACATTGGCCACAGCAACATTTCTCTAGATATGTCTCCTGAGGCAAGGGAAATAAAAGCAAAAATAAACTATTGCTACAACATCAAAATAAAAAGCTTCTGCACAGTGAAGGAAACAATCAACAAAACTAAAAAGCAACCTACGGAATGGGAGAAGATAGTTGCAAATAACATACCTGATAAAGGGTTAGTATCCAAAATATATAAAGAACTTATACAGCCCAACACCCAAAAAACAAATAATCCAATTACAAAATGGGCAGAAGACATGAGCAGACATTTCTCCAAAGAAGACATACAGATGGACAACAGACACATGAAGAGATATTCAACATCACTCATCATCAGGGAAATGCAAACTAAAACTACAATGAGATATCACACTTGTCAGAATGGCTAAAATCAAAAACACAAGAAACAAGTGTTAGTGAGAATGTGGAGAAAAAGGAAACTTCATGCACTGTTGGTCTCACGGTACATGCTCTGGAATGTATTCGTCACACATCAAAGGTTGTTGGCAGGAATGCAAACTGGTGCAGCCAGTGTGAAAAACAGTATGGAGGTTCCTCAAAAAGGTAAAAATAGAACTACTTTATGATCCAGCAATTGCACTACTGGGTATTTACTGAAAGAATACAAAAGCACTTAATTCAAAGGGATATATGCACCCCTATGTTTATAGCAGCACTATTTACCATAACCAAATTGTGGCAGCCCACGTGTCCATTGATGGATGAAGAAGAAGTGGTATATATATATACAATGGAATATTATTCAGCCATAAAAAGAATGAAATCTTGCCATTTGCAAGGACATGGATGAAGTTAGAGAGTATAATGCTAAGTGAAAAAAAGTCAGTCAGAGAAAGACAAATACCATATGATTTCACTCATATATGGAATTTAAGAAACAGAACAGATGAATATGTGGGGGAAAAAGAGAGAAGCAAACCAAGAAACAGACTTAGCTATAGAGAACAAACTGATGGTTACCAGAGGAGAGGCAGGTGGGGGGATGGATTAAATAGGTGATGGGGATTAAGGAGTACACTTGTCGTGATGAGCACCAGGTGATATATGGAATTGTTGAAATATTGTGCACCTGAAACTACTATAACACTGTTAACTAACTAGAATTAAAATTAAAACTTTTTAAAAAAGAAATAAAAGAGAAGTAACAACTGACACCATAGAAATACAAAGGATTATAAGAGACTACTATCAAAAATTATATGTCAACAAATTGGACAACCTAGAAGAAATGGATAAATTTCTGGAAACATACAATCTTCCAAGACTGTATCAGGAAGAAAAAGAAAATCTGAACAGACTGCTTATTAGTAATGAAATTGAATTGGTAATAAAACAAACTCCCAACAAGCATTCCAGGACCAGATGGCTTCACAGGTGAATTCTACCAAACATTTAAAGAAGAGTTAATACCTATCCTTCTCAAACTATTCCAAAAAATAAAGAGGAGGGAAAACTTCAAACTTCATCCTATTATGATCATTACCCTGATACCCAAATCAGACAAAGAGACTACAAAGAAAAAAACTACAAGCCAACATCCCTGGCGAACTTAGATGCAAAACTCCTCAACAAAGTATTAGCAAACTGAATTCAACAACACATGAAATGGATCATGTACCATGATAAAGTGGGATTTATTCCAGGGATGGTTTAATATCTGCAAATCAATCAGCATGATATAGCACATTAACAAAATGAACAAGAAAAATCATATGACCATTTCAGTAGATGCAGAAAAAGCATTTGACAAAATTCAGCATTCATTTATAGTAAAAGCTCTCAAAAGAGCAGGTCTCGAGGGAACATAGTTCAACATAATAAAGGCCATATATGAAAAAACCACAGCCAACATCATACTCAATGGGAAAATATTGAAAATGTTTTCTCTAAGTTCAGGAACAAGACAAAGATGTCCACTCATGTCACTTTTATGCAATACAGTACTGAAAATCTTAGCCACAGTAAACAGAGGAAGAAAAGAAATAAAAAGCATCCAAATCAGAAAGGAAGAACTAAAACTGTCATTATTTGCAGATGACATGATATTACATGATATTATATATAGAAAACCTGAAAGACTCTACCAAAAAACTATTAGTACTAAAAAATTAATTCAGTAAAGTTGCAGGATACAAAATTCATATGCAAAAATTACCTGCATTTCTATACACTAATAATGAAGTAGCAGAAAGAGAAATTAAGAAAACAACCCCATTTACAAGTGCACCACAAATAAAATACCTAGGAAAAAATTTAGTCAAGTAAATGAAAGACCTGCACTCTGAAAACTCTAAGACATTGATGAAAGAAATTGAAGATGTCACAAATGAAAAGATGTACCATGCACATGGACTGGAAAAATTAATATTGCTCAAGTGTCCATACTATCTGAAGCAATCCACGGGTTCAGTGCAATCCCTACCAAAATACCAATAGTATTTTTCACAGAACTAAAACAAATAATCCTAAAATTTGTATGGAACCACAAAAGATCCTGAATAGCCAAAGCAATTTTGAGAAAGAAGAACAAAGCTGGGGGTATCACAACCCCAGATTTCAAGAGCTACTACAAACCCGTAGCAATCAAAACAGTATGCTACTGGAAGAAAAACAGACACATAGATCGATGGAACAAGATAGAGAGCCCAGAAATAAATCCAC